AGAAATTATGAGATGGATACCTGAGAGTACCTTCTTAATGTTGACCAGAAAGTTTCTGTCCTTATCTTCCATGTATGATTAGTAACTTGTGTCTTGATCCAAACTAATGAGTAGGACTAGCAATATCATAAACAGAATTATGAACCTACTGTATATTTCAGCCTCTGTTATTATGCCCTATGTTACTTCTCCCCTTTTAGATTTACATGATAGAAGTCTAGGTTTCTTGGATGGGCTAAAAGTATAAAAATGGATTGGAATTGTTTTTAAGCTGAATTTGTCACTAATATAGGAGTAGTACAAATCTTTACATAGTCCCATACATCTCTCCTGAAACCCTTCTAATTTTCTGAAATAAGATATTTTAAGCCCATATATTTTCATCCTGTTTCATAATTTTATGCCAGCCACCTTACATTGGAATAATGGGCTATATCTGTCAACTAAAGGTGCAGATTGATTGTCTTATATAATATACATCAATTGAATATCTCTAATTAACAAAAGTCTTTTTAGTCTATGTTGGGGAAAGTGATCTTATGTTGTTTTAATTTTTTTACCAATATTTTAGAAACTGTTTTTTGAAATTAGTTTCTAGTGTATTTCCATAATATGATTCTAATATATGCAATAATTATTTTATCCTACCATCTAAGAAATAGTATGCATTTTACCATCAATGGCATGTCATAGTTGACTTAGTATTTTTTTCTTAAAAATGTACAAAATAATGACTTAATACTAATGACATATTCAAGTTTATTGAATTTGCATAGATTTTCTTCTACCATTGTCACTTTGTGGTTCTCTGTATCATTGTACATATAGTTTAGGGGGGGCAAGGTGTGGCGGGTGCAAAATGTTATTATCACCAGACTTCCCTTCCACCACATATCAGTATGAGATCCCCAAAATTCTACTAAGGTTCAGGATGATAGACCTTCCTTACTACTTGAAGTTCTAAGATCCAGTAATCCATGAGACAAATGCTTAGCCAGTTTCATGTGCAGGTGTTTTAAGTGTTGCTTCTACATATGAGGAAGTACATTCCAACCAACTCAAATTCATAATGGAGGGTGTTTTTTTTTTAGAATTATGATGCAATTTAGTTGTTATATCATTTTATATTTTCCATTATATTAAACATTATTGGAAGAAATGCTAGCTTATCCATTAAATAAAACAAGTATAGATGTTAGGAAGAAATTCCAGGTTAACTTGTCTATAAATCTTCAGAAAAAAAAAATTGTATGGTTATGTATGCTACACTGATAAAATCTAGGAAAAGACATAAAATTCTTTTTTAAAAGAAATTGAGTCAGGTGTGATGACACTTGATTGTAATTGTAATCCCTGCTACTCAAGAGGCTGTGGAAGACTGCAAGTTTGAGGCCAGCCTGGGCAGTTTAGTGAGTCTCAGTCTCAAAATAAATTTTAGAAAGGTCTGGACATGTAGCCCAGTGGTAGAGTGTTTACCCAATACACATTAGGGCCTGGATTTAATCTTTAGTACTTAAAGAAAATCACTTTTTTAGAATATTTAATCTAGGCCCAGCACAGTAGCAAATGCCCAGTTGCTTGGGAAGGTGAACAGGAGGATCACAAGTTCAAGGCCAGCAACTTAGCAAGACTCTGTCTCTAAGTAAAACTAAAAGATCTTGGAATGGGAGTTCAATGGTAGAATGCTTGCCTAACATGCGCAAGGCTTTGGGTTCTATCACCACCAACTCCCCAAGAAAKCGTACAATACAGTAGTGTTCAGTACATTCACAAAGTTGGGCAATTATCACTACTACCTAATTAAGTAACTTAATTCTCATTTCCCCAGAGAATCCTATACCTATTAACAATCATCCCAGTTTCTTCTCTAGCTGTCAACAACCACTGATCTTTATTCTGTCTTTATGGATTTGATTCTAAAATATTTCATTTAGATGGAATTGTGCCATACATAGGCTTTTATTTCTGGCTTTCACATGTTTTCAACTTCCATCTACATTGGTAACATCAATCTGTATTTCATTCCTTTTTATGGTTAATGTTCTAGAGTATGAGTATACCACATTTTGTTGAGTGGTCATTTGGGTTGTTTCTGCTTTATTACTTTTATGACTAATGCTGATATGAGTATTCATATTTAAGTGGTAAAATACGTTTTTTTGTTATCTTGCACGTATCCCTAGGGATGAAATTGTTGGATCATATGATGACTGTATGTTCAACTTTTGAACATACAGTCAACTCTGGGTTTCAATATATTTACATTTAACTAAACTGCCAAAGTATTCTTCTAAGCACTGGCATTGTTTTACACTCCAGACAGCATTGTTGAGGGTTCCAGTTTTTTTCAGATTCTCGACACTTGTTAAAGTTTCTTTTATGATAGGTATCCTAGTACATGAGAAGTGAAATCTTATTTTGGTTTTCATAATGACGCTCAGCCAAAATTATGAAAGTCCTTAGATATGTACACTTTGTGGTTTTAGATTTTTTTAAATTTTTTATTTGTTTTAATTAGTTACAGATGACAGTACAATGACCTTGACATATCATGCATTTGAATCAGATGGGATATATTAAAGTTCTTCTAAGTTAGTAATTTTTTAAGGATAGATTTTTCTTACAAATTAATATCAAAGTGGGAGGTTTAGTTTCTTCTCTGAGGATCTTTTAATTCTTCATAGTGGAATTATAATGAATTTGTTAATCTATATAGATCAATCAGAATAGGAGCTTGTTAAATATGAGGTACATTGGGATCTATTATTTGTCCACTCTGATAGCTATCCCTAGAATACACATATAGTAAAAGATTTTTTTATCACCAATTAAAAAACTATTTTTAGTAAAGAGAACTAGAAGCTTCCATTTTATCACTCAGCCATAGGATCAAAATTAACAAGGAAACCTAATCTCAGACTTTATAGGACTGTGCTCTTTTCAGTGTGTGCAAGACTTTTTCCGGAATGATATGATCTGAGCTTTTAGTAGCATACAAACAATCAGACATGCGAAGAACTAACAAACCAAATTTTCTGTCATCTGCCACCCGACTGTCAACATATGTCAACATAACTCTGATGTCTGTCATTCAAAGAGACTTCATCTACAGATAGATTCCCTATTGTTGTTGACACCAGTTGGGAATGTATTATTAGCACAAGCAAAGCAAAATCAGAGCCAAAGTTACCAACCAGAAATAGAAACAAACACAACAAAAATAAAACACACATTATAAACCAAAGTAGGAAATAAGAAAACATAAACAGGAAACCATTCTGTTGCCTTTTAAGATTAAATCTAGGCCAAAAAAAAAAAAAAAGGCAAGTGTGGGCTTGGAGACCTGAGCCCATGAAGACAACACAGCTCAATTTACTGCAGAAGGGAGTCCATTTGAACTGTTTTAATGGGACTTCCATAACATCAAAGCATAGTTCTCAAAATCAAAGCATGATTACCAGAAAAAATAGCAAATTCTGAAGTTTTACTGAACATATTAGAAAACTACCAGAATGACAAGGTAGTCCTAAGGATGATTTGAGAAACTCACGTAATTATATACACAAATAGATTTAAGAATACTAAAATAAGGTTGGTAAGATTTAAAACTGGATAATGTGCCTTAAATCAATAAAACCGTTATCTGTTGGTCATTTTCTCTACTAGACTGGTGGCATTGATGAAAAGTAGTTTTAGTGAAGTGATAGAGACAAATGTGACTCAAATTAGTGCAGAAGAGAAAAGGATAAGCAGATGTATCACTAAAAGTCTCCTTAAAGAGACTTTTCAGCAAAATATTAGTAACTCGAAGTAAAGGGAGATAAAATAATGATGATGGGATTTTTGTTTGAACTTAAAGTGAACTCATCTCAGAATTATATTTATGTACTAATAAATCACTTTATTACCAATTCTGAAATCAGCTAATTGAGCAATGGAAAGGGTGCTGCTGCAGCAAACTTGATGTTGCATAACCTATATATACCGATATATATTAATCAAATCTTAGTGTTACTAGTAAACAAATAAAAAAGAAAGGGTTGGGTGACAATAGTCTTGATGTCAGAAAGACTGGAAAGCTTTATAAAGCAGAAGGGCTTAATTTTCATCTGAAAGGATTCAKCTGAAAGGTTCATGTAAATGATAGTAATAATTTTTCAAGCAATAGAAGCAGAAAAAAATTAAGACTAAGAAATGGAAGAGTAGGATATACATTAGTGCTAAAATCATGACCTTTGGGTTATTAGATGAATCAGACTAATTCTTCTGTCTAGGTAGACAGAAGAAGTGAAAATGCTTTAATGTCTCATTATTGAATATCATAATTTGCAACATTATTTAGGAAGTCATACTTGTCCTCATACCATATAAAAATGATTTCAAGCATCTAAGAGATAACTTATTTTTTTGAGGAAAAATTATATCTCAAAATTTATTCACAAAATCATTTTAATATAACTTCTTAATTCAGCCCCCCTAAATGGTAATGCTTGCTGCATAGATTCCTCTCATAACTTTTATTTGTCATAATATTAGGGTTTATTCTGACTCACACCTTGACTGCCATCATCACTGTTAAAGATTCTCTATTTGCTAATGTGTATTTAGCACTTTGAAACAGGAAATAGAAAAGGAAAACATGAGGTGGTGGTAAGGGTCTTGTGAGCCAGTTTTTGCAAGTATTTTAAGGAAACTTAAAAATAAGAGGTTCACTGGTCATAACACTTATCGCCCCACTAATAGCATTGGTTGTTTCTGTTCACTGTTTTTAAAATGTCCATAGATCACTCTGTTGAAATGGCATTGTCACAAGCTGTTCTTTAAACATTGGGGGGATGGTGATTTGATCTCAGAGTATCTGTGGCTGTAGGTCTAGTACTTGACTGGCTTTTCCCCATAAAACTGTGCCTGGATTATTTCAGAAATAAATAGATTTAGAATTTCAGTTATGCTGACCTGTAATTTATGGACGCATATATGTTTTTACTTTGTAAATATAGTTCATTTACCCCCAAAATGCAAGGCAGACGGATGGGGACTTCAGGAAGAGCCATCACRAAGAGCACCAGTGTAAGTGGAGAGATGTACACACTGGAGCATAATGACGGCAGCCAGTCAGACACAGCTGTGGGAACCGTTGGAGCAGGTGGGAAGAAGCGGAGATCCAGCCTGAGTGCCAAAGTGGTTGCCATAGTGTCTCGGAGAAGTAGAAGCACATCTCAACTCAGCCAAACAGGTAAGTGAGGTGCGTTCCACTTAAGCATCTCAAGTTTTTGCTGGAGTGACAAATATTGACCTTCATGCTRCAACTGGTATTGGGAATGTAGTGTGTATTTGGTTCTTCTTTGGCAAAGAAACTTTATTTTTTTAACTCTGAAAATCTGTTCAATTCATGGGATTTTTTTTTTCTGCACAGCTCTCTGAAGAAGGGATCATTTGTTAATCTGCAAAGTGATCAGATATTTTCCTGTAAACTAAAAAAAATTAAGGCCATGTCTACAAATGTGCAAGGAAATGCAAAGAAATATTAGAGATCCAAATTGAATTATATGCAAGAAAAGCAACAGGATTCTCTTTTTCAAAATGTTCCATAATTCAATTATCTACAATTCAGACTATATATTTTTTATAGAAAAGAAGGTCAGTTGTGCAACTTGAAATATAGTCTTCAAGGTACTGTATGAAAATAATTGGTCTGTGTTTGGTATAGTTTCAATGCAAGTAAAAACCCAGAAGCGGTTTTACTTTAGAAAAATGGGTCAGTGAATTCCTGCAAAGAAAAATGTTTTAATACAAATTTGTGTTTCACATGTTTTCTGCTGCTTATGAATCTTAAAAGCTTTATGTCCTGAAGGTATATATAAAAAAAGCAAATGCAGAAGGTAGAGTGACTATTTGTTATTATAAAATGTAATAAAAGACTGCTTTAAATTATGTAATATTTGAACACATGTATTACATAATTTATTACTGTCCTCAATACTTTGTAAAACTGAAGGTAAGTGAAATAGTGAACCAATTTAAATTGTCAGAACTCATTTCTCCTCTTGTAACCAATGGTTCCATTTTCTGTTCCTTAATAGCAAGATCCCTGTTAYAAAATTTACTTGTGAGAAAGCCTCTATGAAATCTTTTATATCTCACTTAGTGTTCTGGGAAGCACATATTTTAAATTATGCACTCTACTGGATATATTGACAAGTAAACAGAGTAGGAAATTTTGAGCCATTTATAAAATGAATTAGGGCATATGACATTTTTATCTGTATAAAATAAAAATGGTTTGTCCTAAGGTTAGAATTAACCTAGTATAACTAGTATCCTTGTGATAGGTCTGCCTTTTTGCTACCCAGTAATATAAGGTGTTCTTCTCTTTTTAGTGTTAAGAAGATTCATTTGTCCTCCTTAGGGTCAGGTTTCTTTAGAGTAGGTGTTTTTCCATTTATGTTGTTTTGTTGCTTGATTGTTTTTATGACCAGTGGTTCCTGGTTACTGGTTTTGATGTAATTATGCTCTGCAGTATAGGATGTGGGATGTAGGATATAGAGAAAACTTAGACTTCAGACTTCAAAATATGTTATTACCTGGATGAAACTGGGATGTTCTTTGAYGTCACTTAAGGAAACCTAGGCTTCCTCAGTGAAATGCTGCAGGTTAAGATGGCTTATCTTCTCCCCCCAATATACACATCTCTGTTTCCTTTCTAGTTGTTTAGAGAAACAAATAACTGGTTTGTTTGTTGAGTATTGGATGAATAGAATAAAGTTCTCTTAGAGTTACATAGGAAGTATACTTGTGGCACAACTTTGTAGGTAAAAGGTTTAAATAATTACTATGGAAACACTCAGCTCTCTTTGCTTTATTAGTTTACACTGTATCCCAGTTATTTGACTTTCAAATAAAGTCATCTTTCCAGAAATTTCATGGTTAAAAACTTCCATACTTTTAGAGATTGGCTTGCCACATATGAGTGTAAAAAGGCCAAAGTAGCAAAATGGTTCTACCCTACAGTGACTCTGGGAATGAAGTTCAACCTCTCTCAGAACACAGTTTGCTTATGTAATGATGGATTAACTTTCCAAATGTAAAATTTTATGATTCTCTTTCTGCACCATAATTTTTACCTTTTGTCTGATAACCTGTTCATTCTTCTGATTTTTCTAGAGCAGATGACAAATGTTGATAATCTTCAATTATCATTTCCCTTTGTTTCAGAGAATAGCCTGATTTTTCTCTCTCTTTTCTCTTCTACTTGTGATTTTAATTTATTTTTCTCCATCTGTGATTATATTTCATCACTCCTGTAAATATTCACCAAAATTCAGAATTTCTATGAGGAGTCTTATTTTTACTGCTTCAGCTTCTACATGTGGCCATCAAATCTGTACTTCTGGATTCTTCATCATTCAAGAAACAGTCCTTCATTTTTATTGCCCATTAGAAAGCTCCCCTTGAGCGTCCCAAACTGGTATTTCCACATCTCTTAATTTCTAATTTGCTTTAGAATGTTTCAACTATAAATAATATTATTTTTTAAATCTCCTCTACAGTTCATAATGGAGGTGGGAATAACATTTTTTTTAACCTAAGAGAGTGGAATAAGCAAGTAAGTCTCCAAACATTGAATCTCATTGTTGATGTTAGTTAATGTCAGCCAATCAAGCACATAGCTAAAATCCTATCATTAAACAGTAACTGGATTAGGTTGAAAGTATGAAAGTAGTGAGGGAAAGGGAAATTCTAAGAAAAGGCCCTTGAATCAGAAATATTTTGGAATTGCATGAGACTTTAGGTAAAGTTTGGACTGAAGAATGTACAGGAGAATTTAGTTTCGAATAGTTTAGTGACCCAACCTGTGTATGCAATATGAGAACTTGTCCCCTCGCTTGCTCACTAATTGTGTGATATTCCACCAGTGGTACTTCTCTCTTCACTAATGAGTGAAGGCATTATTTGGAAGGATCCACAGATCTGTGAAGAATCATCCCTAAATTCACTCTAGAAATTATGGTAATAAATATTATAGGAATGACAAATATTCATGTGTCTATGTGAATAAAACTAATAACATGTCTATATTCCTAGACCTTTCACTTGCACTCTTAAGTTATGTATATGGATATGTGCTTGTAAGTTCACTCCCTTATTGGTCACAAGAAACTTATGATCACTATCCCTACTTTGAAATGAAGAAAATAAGACATAAAGACACTAGGTAAATTGGAAAAGGTCCCATAATAAGTGATTGGGTCTGGATTTATTCACTGTATGTGTAGTTTTTTGTTTGTTTTGTTGTCATTGTTTTGTTTTGGTTTTCAGACTCACCCAAGCTGGCTTCAGATTGGTAGGTGCGTGCTCAAGCAGTCCTTTCGCCTCAGCCTCCCTAGTAGTGGTATGCCACCATGCCTGCCTTGGGCCTGAATTTAAATCCCAGATGCCAGTGCCAGAGCCCATGCTCTTAACCACTATGATAAGAAATTTCAAATCAGGTTCAACAAATATTTATGAAACACCTGTATGGTTAGTATGTAGTGAGCACCATGTCAGGCCCAGGATTAAGAGCTGGGAATAAAAGGATGAATGAAATACTGTCCGTGCTCCCAAGGATACACAGTATAATAGGGCAAGTCACATATATTATTCCAGGTGGAAAGGGAATTGTTCAAATGTCAGAGAGATGCAGGGGAAGCACATAAAAGGAGGTGATTCACTCTGTCATATAGTTCTGAAAGACCTTCCTGATGAAATGAGGCCTAACAAAAACATAAATAAATCAGGAAAATGACATTGGGAAGTACCTTCCAGGGCACAGGAAATAACACCCTGATTATATGTTGAAATTGTTGAGTGATTACTTTCCTGGGATATGGGAAATAAATCTGTGTGAATAATAAAACTATACGAAAGATTTCTGTAATTCTAATGGCTGTTCCTCCTATATACAAAGGATAGGTCACATCCGGACAGATCTTAAATCAAATTAACACTGTACATCTGAGACCATGATTTCTGAATAAGATTTTTTAGCTTCTATGAAGAAAATACCTATCGGTATAAAATATAATCAGTTTCATAAAATAGAAATTATTCAGTTTACTTTATATTATGGATAAATCATAACTCTAGTACTATACCAGGTATGCTGAGTATTCAGAAAACAGAAGTACCATCAAATCATTCACACATGAGCCACATATGAGCCAAATAACTAAAGTGAGAAAATGTAAAATAAAATGCCAAACATAATAAAATCCAGGGCTGTTTATGTATACTTCCAGAGGAATTTGGAAGACAATTGATCAAGGTCCTGAGTCTCCCAGGAGGTTGGCCCACAGGCCAACCATCTGACCACAAGCTCATCATTGCTTAAGTCATTATATCCGAGGATGTTTTTTTTTTTAAACGACTATTTCTTCTACATATTGGCAGGATTTGGGCAATTATACTCTAATTATGGAAAATGTTACAGGACTTATTTATAATTTTCAAACCATCAGGAGTCATTTATGATATGCCAAATAAGAATGTACTAAAATTGCTTCTATGCATATTTAATAATAGATATTTTGTACCTTTTCAATATTTTTTTCTTTATCAACGTTTTTTTGCCTGTATTCAAAACCTTTCCTTTGAGGCCATGCTTGGGATCCTCTAACTCTGTAAGTTGTCCCCTATTGTTTTGACACTCACCAGAATCTTGCTTTTCTTCCACATAGGTAGATTGAGATCTCAGACTTCATTGTTCACCTCATACAAACAAAATTTGGGGGCTACTTCCATGAGCAAAATAATAGGTACATATATAAAGGTAAAGAAAAAAATCTCGCATAGGCACAGATAAACAGAAAAGTTCCACATTCCCTCTTGGTAAAAGAATCTAAACCTAAAAGACATCTTTCAGTCATAAGCCCTGATGTATGTTTCCTTTTTTGTGTGTTACCACAGCTGCATGGAGCAGGGCCCAAGTGCTTGCTTAGATGCCTGGAAAAGCCTTATCTATCTGTTTTAGAATTGAGGCATTCACAAAAAGTCAATTCTGCCTTCTGGCTTCTTCTGTTTTCCTATAAAAATTCTTAAAACAAGGAATAATAAAATAAATTTATGGAAACTATTAAAAAGCTAATAACCTAATGGAAAGAAGAAGGAATTATACTGGGAGAAAACCACAAACATATTTCAATAAATTAATCCCAGTCCATTAGTACATTTTGGCTAGAGCAAAGAAAAATTTATAAT